CATGACATGACAATTCTACAGCGCCACTTTGGACTAAGAAATGATAAAGAAGATCTCAATTTCGAAAGTTTTTGCCATTCTCGGTATAAACTCCACCTCACAAACACATATTAATGCGTATACTTTAATCTTGGAAAAGGATTTTCGAATCTATGAAAAAGAAAAAAATAATTGTCATACAAAAATTATATAGTTTAATCGATATGGTCGTTATATGGTCGGTATAATCGTTAAACATTCCATATTTTTTTATACACATAAAAAACTGCAATAACTTCAATAATTACAATAACTTCGAATAAAATGATATTTATATATTTCAGCGGTTTTCATCAAATATATTTTATATAATATACTTGGCAAAATTTTTTGTTAATACTGTAATAAGTATTAAAAGCTGACCAAGCTTTACATTGAGCTGTTTAGTTGTATTGAACTTCAAGCTTGTTGATAAAATATCAAACCTTTTTACAATATTTATCACGCTACAAAATTATTTTTAGATCTATATCTAGCTAAATTTTTAGATACTTCAGCATAATTACTCCTTCCGTGGGTTTGCAATCCATATTATTATCAACTTCTTAAGTAACACACAGCTTACAAAGCGCTAAAAAAAGCGCATATAATCGCTTTTTAACGCTTTGCAAGCGTTGCTGTGCTACTTGCGTTTATTTCCGATTGTTTCAGGGGACGTTTTCGCCAGAAGCATACGAGCCTCTGTCGAACCTACAAATTTTGAACCTAGGTAATAACGTACTCCATTGGTTACATCAGAGCATATTCGAACACATTGCCGACCTCAAGGTGCTGAATCTATCCGGAAATCCGTTCGGTGTGTTCGATTATCGTACGTCCATAGCGATTAGTAGTTTGTCGTATTTGGAGGAATTGGATATCAGTTATTGCGAATTGCGAGAACTACTGAATCTTCAGTTCCACAATGCCAAGTAAGGAACCGAAAAGTCTACGATCATATATAATTTTATCTTAATTACGTTATGCATCATTCAAGACGTTTCCTAAAATCTTTCGCTGCTCTTAGACACCTGAAGAAATTGAACCTGACCGGCAACCAGCTCACAGTTCTGCCCAAATCATTGGAAGAGGCAAGAACCTTGGAGTACCTTAGTTTGGATGGCAATCCGATACGCGCTATCGATCGCACGAATGCTTTCCCCAACCTGAAGATGCTGCGAGAGCTCAGTCTACGCGGGATGCTGAATCTGACGGTGATCGGGAACGGCGGATTGTCGGCATTGACTGGCCTGGAGAGTCTCTACATACAGAATTGCTGGAAATTAGGGAGGATCGAAGAGTACGCGATAGCGTTCACGGTATGTCGATAGCCGACGGTAAGCACGTGCCGTCGACGATAACGATGTAATTTGTCGCGCGTTGTCCGCAGACCACCGAGGGCACGATGTGGCCGCCGTTGAAAAAGCTAAACATGGCGTCCAACGATCTCCGGTATCTACCGATGCTACTCGTTGGGAGATGGGACAAGCTCGAGGAATTGCGCCTGACGGGTAACCAGTGGAACTGCGATTGCGATAATCAATATCTGGTAAGTTCCGACAATCGAGCAATGTGCGATCAATCGAGGAAGAGAATAAATGAATACAGATGTTTTGAGAGAAATGTTTTTGCTATTTATGATTATAATTATATGATAAAGTAATTAGGAACTCTCCCAACAAGAACAACAAGTCACGGTAACGTCAAAATGACGTTAAAATGAATCGTAAATGATATTTTGAAATTATTTTGATATTATAACGACTTGTTGTTCTGCTTGAGCTATTTCTATAGTTATATTACTTTATAATGTTAGTAATGATAATTATATTCATATTTCTTAACAAAAAGTTATAATTGTCCAAAAAACGCGATCATATTATACTTATAATTCTATATAAAAAAATATATAGTTGATTCCAGACTATAATAATGTAATTATTTTTGGGGCCATCTATACTTTGTTTATATAGAATATATATATAATTATTAATATTATAGTAATAACTATAAAAATGAAGCTCGTAATTATTCTACCATGAATTATAGTCATAAATACCAAACGCTTTTCTGTAGAAAACCCCTTCGCTCGTGTCGCTCTTTCGTCTCGATTGGGTTGCGTACAGTGATTAATGGCTTATTTCTCACAGATCGGAACTGTATTGCCGGAATATGGCGAGGCACTAATGGGAGAAAACGAGGTCGACGAGCTCACCTGTTCCGCACCGCCGGAACACGCAGGGAAGAAGCTCGCATCCTTGGCTGATCGACATCTACGCTGCTTGGATCTGTATAACGCGAGACCGGAAAAGGATGCCGCGGTACTCGTAGGAGTGCTGATCGGCCTACTTATCGCGATTCCAATCGGCATGGCCTTCTTCATTCTTTGGCGGCGCGGCTTCTTCTTCTGTGGATCGCAAGGTCCTGGCACCTTCTCCCGTGCCTTCTACAAACGCGCGTCCAATGACGATGACATTTAAACTACACACACACACACACATTATATATATATTAGATGCGCAACTAAGTTCTCGCTGTTATTTTCACGAAAATACTATCAAAATAACAGCGAGAACTTAGTTGCGCACCTAATATATATATGTGTGTGTGTATATATATACATAATTTTTTTACCGCACCAGGAAAGAGCAATTTTACTGAAGTGTCTAAAAATTCTATTAGATACAAATCTAAAAAGAAATTTGTATTGACTATTAAAATAATTATGTAGAGTGCTTAAACATTGACGACAGAGTGTTGCGACAAGTTTTAACATTTCAGCAACCAGATTAAGCGTCCTACATGATACTGATAGTTGAACAAAATTATTTTCAGATCTGTATCTAGCTATTTCTTTGATACTTCAGCAAAATTTTCGTGCAGTCGCTCTTTTTTGGTAAGACTTTGTTCATATTATAAGCAAAACATTGAGAAATAATGAGATACGCAAAAGGATATAATGTGTAAATTGCAGCAGAATCTAGCAAAATCCGTACTATCAGATGGCAATCGAATGTAGGTATCTAGTCTAAGCTTTCACAAATACGCGTAGCGTACCTTTTATACTTATGTTTTGTTAGAACATTACGAAGCGCTGTGTCGGAAGTCGCGCGGGACGAGCTAGATGTATGTACATTTCTTTGTTCGAATAAGCACTTCATTATGAAACGCAGCCCACCGCCGTATGATGTATATTGCATGACGCTCCGCAATAAACAAACTTGAAAATTAATACATGCTACCCGTTTTGCTCTCACGCCTAACGAGTCCCAAGAGGATCCGCGAGTCTCGGCGGAGGATGTTGCCGAGCCGCGCCGAAACCCCGGACGATGGATTTTCGGCTTTGCGAGCAGAGCTGCCGGAGGGCGGCTCTCATTCTCTCTCATTCTCTCTCCCTCCGTCTCTCTCTCTCTCTTTCTCTCGGCGCAAATGCGTGGAGGGTGCGAGGGATGGAGGACGAGGGTTGTGCGCGACGCCGAGCGACGCCGGGCGACGCCGAGCGATGTGCAGCGGGCGGACGCACACGGACGGATGGACACGCGCCGGTAACGCAATTACCGTGACGTTAATTTACTCAATAATCGCAGAAGCAACCCCGTCTAAATGTCGGCACGCGTCCCTCGACCCTAATCATAGCCGGCCGTCGTCACGCCTGCGGAAAGAGAGATATCGTCGAGATATGCGAAAAACCGAGATTCGAGAGATTAACGATAATTAAGACCGTTAAAGTGTAAGATTTCTCTCATCTCTTTCCTCTCTCTCTCTCTCTCTCTCTCTCTCTCTCTTCTTCCTTTTCTTAAGATGTTCATGCTATCTTATCTTCAATATGGGAAACAAAAAGTGTTATGTTTATCTCACCAAACAATTTTCTAGAATGAGTCCAACGTCCATCTCTAATCTTTAACTCCTTCTAATTCATTATACACATTTTCGGACCTTGCACTACGTGTTTATCGTTCAGGTACAAAGATATATATGACATAGTCATATCTCGTCAAACGCCACGCGATTGTACCGCCATTTGGAAAGCGCCCCGTATACACGAGCCGCTAAGTAATTTAATCCCACGTTTCGGCTCGTCCTCTCTCGTCCAAGATTCAATACCGATACAGCCTGTCGTTGAGTGGAGTATCGCGCGTCGTACGAGGAACCTGAGGCTATGTTTCGATGAGGGATGCGGGAGTTAAACCGAAGCGTTGCGATGCGTAACGATGATATACGTCGAAAAAAACGATCGGTTTCGGTCGTCCTCTCGAGTATATCGACACTTTCGACACGATGGAGCCTTATCTACAAGATAAAGAGACGGAGAGGAGAGAAATGGTTTGAAATACTCTTACCATTGAGAAATCGTCGCGCGTTGCGCACGTATAACGGATGGCCACGCCGAGGCAGGCAAGCCGGGCAAGCGCGAGGGGATTTTCGTAACGTACTCTTACATATACATGCTTGCACTTTGTATTATTATATCTACGTGCGAGAGCGCGAGAGAATGGAGAGAAATCGCGAATGCCGAATACAGAAGGATCGGAGTCCCTCCTGCCCTTCCGCGCCCTCCGGCCGCGGCCGCCTCCTCAGCGCGGGATGTACGTCGTTGGATTCACGAATACCCGAGCGCGTGTCCATGGAAACGAGTGGCCGAGACCCGCCCCTGGGATCGTCGCGGAACCAACCCGGGCGACGGTGAGCGTCGCGACGCCGGCCAATGCGGGACGTCAGGCCGGCCTCGAAACTCGGATACATTCGGATCCAAGCGTTACCCTTCCACGTACGTTACGAGCTACCGCGGTACGCCAACTAGCAGGAGGGGCCGCCGATCATCGCCGTTGCGGGGGGTTGAACGTTGAATCACCCTGATACGCGCTTACCGATACGCGCCTCGCTACGATGTCTCGATCGACGACGGTGAAAGACAGTGAGCGACAGACGGCGTCTCGCGCGATTCATACTTGATCCATGGCACGATCCGCGACCATCATTCATCAATCACAATTCCGTCGGGGAATAAACTCGTGGAACGTACGATGTCCGATTAGTTGAAACCAGGTCGGGCTAAAGTGATCACCGACTCCGCCGAGGGTGTCGCTGATACGCACTTCGGGAGAAAAGTGATCAGTTTCGAGAGTGATTCATTCATCTTCCCGCGAGGGAAGAATATACGGAGGTTGAATAAACGTTCGATTAAGAAGTTAACTTATGAGATTTGGAGCCAGTTCTCTCTCCCTTTATTGAGAGAGAGTTTAAAAAAAAAGAAGAACCGGCATCGGTATTTAAACACCCAAACACAGTTCGTTGAATCTCTAACCCTGGCCGTCTCTTTTGGCACGAGAAACTGTGTTCGTGTCTCGGATCGTCGCGGCTGGCAAGGATCTCCCTTCGATTTCGCGACCTTGGCGTCGCGCCAAGACACCCGGGCGAGAATGTAACCGCGACGATCGAGGCATGTACGCGTCGTCGTAGCCGCAACGTTGCGTCGAACGAGAAAAGATGCAGTCGACCTGCCAGCAGCAACAAGCTCAGCCAGGCCAAAACGGAACTTCCGCCAGCAGGACATCGTTCCTCATCGAGGATATCCTTAGCCGCGGCACCGTCACTCCGCACACCCATCATCATCAGCTGCACCATCAACACTTGACGTCGACCTCCGGCCACGGGCAACACCATCAGTATCAGCAGTTCGCCAGTTTGCTACCCGGTTATCCCGCGGCACCACCCGCTGCGGCGGCCTTCTTCTTGGGTCCGCTCTTCGGTAGCGCTGGCATGGGGGTCGGTGTGGTGCCAGGGGTCGGGGAACTAGCAGCTCTTAAACATTGCCGACGACGAAAGGCTCGGACTGTGAGTACATCCTCGATATTCCCTTCACTCACCCCGTTGACGCGAGCCGACGCGTCTGCATCTAAAGTGGAAATTTCGAGACGCGAGTCGCGCCTATGAAAAGAACAGTTTTGCTAAAATACCTGAAAATTTATAAGCTACATACAGATGGAAAAATAATTTTGTTGGATTATTAAAATGATTATATAAAATGCTCAAGCTGGTTGCTAAAATATTAAAACTTTTTTCACTATTGCTCATTACGTTTGAGCGTTGTACATAATAATTTTGATAGTCTAACGAGATTATTTTCAAATCTGTATATCTAGTTTTTAAAATTTTTAAATACTTCAATAAAATCGTTCTTCCCATGCGCGAATAACACTTTGTATTCGCAAACTGTAAACGTCAAGTAAATTTTTTACACGAAACAGAAAACAAATTTTTCCAAATTATCTAAAAATTTAGGCACCTAAATACAGATTTGAAGATAATTTTGTCCGTGATAATTTCATGTAATTCAAGCATAACGAGCAATAATACTGCAAATTATTGTCAAATGTTTTAATATTGTAATACCAGCTTGAATAACATGAAATTATGACGGACAAAATTATCTAAAAATTTAGGCACCTAAATACAGATTTGAAGATAATTTTGTCCGTGATAATTTCATGTAATTCAAGCATAACGAGCAATAATACTGCAAAATATTGTCAAATGTTTTAATATTGTAATACCAGCTTGAATAATTATTTTAATGATTCTAATAAAATTATTTTTAGATCTGTATCTCGCTAAATCAGATACTTTAAACGCAAAACTCTTCTTTACGAATCAAAATCGTCGATTATTACAATCAATCAGAGACGAAACGTAAATCAAGCTCGTGTAAATCTTACGTGCAACTATTTACAACATGAGGCATAATATCTGACGTTACCGGATAAAACGATTCTTAGTTTGTTCATTTCTCTCCCTTCTTGTCGTTCTAGTTACTTTTTTATTTATATTTTTTTTTCTTTTCCCTCCACTTATCTCTCACGATTGTAGGAGGTAAGAGTTTGGTTCCTTACGGCTTCAGGTATTCAGCGATCAGCAGCTAGCGGGTCTAGAAGCGAGGTTCGAGGTACAGAGATATCTGAGCACGCCCGAGAGAGTAGAACTGGCGGCGGCATTGCACTTGTCGGAGACCCAAGTGAAAACATGGTTCCAAAATCGACGGATGAAGCACAAGAAGCAGCTGAGGAAGCTAAACACAACTGGCGGCAGCAACAATTCCAATTCAGGCCAGCAATCGATATCCGTAACGTCGCCCGCTGGTGAGTGAAGTCCATTTCATTTCTCCACGTTCGCCGCTTTTGCTTCGATGGATGGAAAAATGTAAATCGGTTCCGTTGCGTTATATACGCTGCGACGTCACGAGCGTGATTTTCGAGGGAGAGAGAACGTATCTGGAACGGCTGTAACGAGGCGTTTACGGGGGCGCTATTGAACGATAATGCTTAAAGGACATCGCAATCTACGGCATCTACGGAATTTCGCATCGAGTAGCATCCGCAACGCGTAACTTAATTACCGACAAATTAAATGCGCGTATCGACTTTTCGATAAACAGCTGCGAGCAGTATTCCCGCGCCGCGAGCTAATTAACTTGGATTAATGACGCCGTGTCCTAGATAAGCGGGAAACTCATGAATGGCTGTGCGACGTGCCGTTACGAATAGAAAAACATTATACGCGTACCTAGATCTAGGTTAAACTTGGATAAGACTGCCATCTTCATGATATAACACTGTTCGTTAAAGATGACAAAATTTAAGTATACTTTTTGCATTTTAAGGTGGCCATTTTACCCAATTTTATCCTTAAAAAATAGGGGGCGAATTCGCAAGTAGATTCTGATCAGATACAATCTCTTTGGAATGTATGTGTGGTACAATAATGGCACGTGTATTTGTGTAATAGGTAGGTACGGACACACACATATGAAAATTTTCATAAAGTTAAACAAATTGTTTTCGCAATCGCAAGTCAATACACCGGCACGACGCGGAGATTAATCGGCTATAGTTATCGGTTATCTGGCCGAAGCGGAGAGCGCGGGACGACGCGTTATAACGTCGGTTGTCGTTAAATACTTCCCTGTTGTCACGGTAATGGGCGATATCTGTATAATGCAACCAAAATACCGCTGACAATAAATTACGCAAGTTCGGCGTAACTAGCCAGACCGTAACCGTGATTACGTTGCGAGGAACTATAATCATTATAACGGTATCTACGTAATGGTTTGCATTCCGTCGTAGATATATTACCATAATATCGTTCGCCGGTGACGTCGCATTTACAGATGTTCATTACATTAATTTCCTAATAGGAAAACTCGCCACGGTGATGTCGTTGCCTTCATTTATTCGTTATTTTCTGTTTTTCGATAACGTGCCGGATGTCACGTTAATTTCCTTAAAGAAAATTCACGATGGTATTTTTTCGTTTTCGATAATGTGCTTGGACGTTACGTTAATGTCCTAGAAAAAAAATTGTTGTAATGGCGTCTCGTTGCCACGAGCGATTTATGTATTGTTTTACCTTTTTTAATAAAAAGAGTGTATATTGTTTTAATTTCCTAGATGAAAGTTTGATAGTGTCGTTGCTTCAAACAACTTACATATTATTCTTTATTTTCGATAACATAACGTGTGTTATATTAATTTTCTAATGGAAAATTCGCGGTAGCGTCGTTGCGTCGAGCAATTTCCTTCGTTAAAATGGGACGCGTATTATATTAATTTCTTAAAAGAAAATTCGCCGTAATGTCACTATCTCGAACGATTTACATGTATTATTTTCCATTCTCGATAACGCTTATATTAAATTATATTAACATCTTAGAAGAAAATTTATCGCGGTAGTGTCGTTATCTCAAGCGGTTTACGTGTTATACATTTTTCCGTTTTCAATAACATATAAAACAAATTCTTTTTCGCGAATACGCTCATCGGACCATCCCGGTATTCCCGGTACGACGTACGAATATAAAAGCGATCGTTTAACGAGACGGCGGGAGACATTTCGAGCGATTTAAATAGTTTGGTCCATAGCGTTCGCATCCTATATGTCAAGTCGTTCGTCTTCGGTAGACAAGATGGCTTCGTTCGGTAGGAAGGGCTAACCGAGTTACATAGACGTCTCCTTGGCAGCAACCAAGAAGGAGGTATCGAGAGGAGGGTGAGTAGGGTGGAGGGCACACAGAAGACGGAGACGGAGACCGCCTCAACGTCTTTAGACTCGAGCGAGCTACGTAAGGAACCCCGTAAGGAAGCGCGACGGGGAGATATTCGTTCCCTCCTTCGATGCCTCTCTTTCGCCGTCCCGTTTCGACTCCCGCTCACACCCGCTTACGTCTCTCGGCGAGAGAATTGCTCAATTACCCGCTAAGTGCTCGGTCAGACCTATATTCTCGATTGTGCTCGCCGCTAAGGGCTACCATAGGCCGTAGCGGCGCGTGCCATGATTCCGACTTTTATTCAAATATAGGGAAACGCAAAAACGGTATTCCGTCCTGTATTGTCGCGAAAATATTTGCGGCACGATAATGCAGACTGACAATGAAAGCGAATGTAAAGAGAATTCGTTACAACAATTACGTCCCGCTTGCAAACGTTGGATACGACTTGTAGTGCTGCTCCGACAATCTCATCGCGATTCAACGGAAATATTGAACTTCCGGAGTAGAGATGTGCGGAGAAGCATAGATTATCGATATTTCTTATCAATATGAAATACGTAATATCGATACGGCAATATATTGATTGGAAATGATTCGATATTTGGAAATATCATCATCTTTTTTGCATGTTTTATTATATAGAGACGTGCGGAGAACATAAACTTTTGATTTAAACAAATTTTTTTTTTTAATTACTAGGTAAATTCACTAATTTATCAATAAAATTATAAATATTTTAGTAAATTTATGTATAAAATGGGAATGAGAAACAGATTGATGAGAATAAAAAATAATGCATTTATATATTTTATACAATACATATATTTGTCATTTTATACAAAATACATACAAGTCTATCAACTAACAAAGATAATGTGAAACATAAAATTTCTTCTTTTTAATTTTATTCATGATGGCGTTGATCGCGATGTCGTAAACTGTCCCCGAATTGACTATCCTTGTTATAGTTTATGCGATTAATTTTGGAAATATAATTTTTTTATCGACTCAATTGATATCTACGTTCCGATATGCTACGATGCGGACTAAAAGTTTCGATGCAAATATCAAATATCAAAAAGAGTAATGATATGATATTTCAAAATATCGATTATATCGGAATTATTCCTATTCCGGAGCTGACTCCAAAATCTGTAATACAGTTACTCTGCAAGATCCATTTAATTTATGTTAATTAAAAAATATTAATTAATTTCAAGAAAATGAGGACAAATCTGAATACTAAGTATATTTAGTATCAAAACTGCCGATGGTGGTTCCGCCATTTTGACTCCGTTAATCATTTCCCTTTTTTCTTTTTTGCATCAAATATACAGAACATAGAAAATGTAATATAAATAATTCTAATAATAAAAAAAAACTTTTCAAAAATAAGGATAGGAAATTAACCGATATCTTCGGCAATTCTAGCGAAATATACCATCGGCGGTTCTAGTATTAAACAAGCATATAATCCAAATTTGCAGCTACGTGACATAAGAAAATTATAAGAGAATTATAAGAGAATGATTTGATATTGTTGACACAAAGAGTGGACGAAATAGACCCACCGGAGTGGCTCTCTCAGCTCCGGAGGGATACAATTGAGTGGGTCCAATAGACCACGTACTTACGTCATATCCGGAGGACTAATCGACGATTGTTTGGTGATGTTGACAGAACGTCCGGTAGACTTTTCGCTGAGTGGCGGCCGCGAGTCGCGCGCGAGCAGTGACGCGCCCGCGGACTCCGACGACGAGGACGATGACGAGATCGACGTGCTGGGTGATGAAACACCGTCGCCGACGCCAACACCAACGGCGACGCCGACTCCGATGCCGGCGCCGGCGCCGACGCCTACGCCGGCCCCAACGCCGACCTTGACGTCGACGTCGACGGTTTCGACCCCGACGTCGACGCGTACCGGCACTCTGCCGTCTCTCCCAAGACGCGGCACGCCACCGAGGATCCTCCACACGGCGATTCATCCGCACTCGCATTCGCATTCTCACCCCCATTCGCATCCACATCCGCATCCACATCCGCATACGGTCAGCCTTCACCATCAGCACGGCCAGCATTCCGCCCAACGTCAGCATCGCTGAGACGCGTTGCGACGTCATCGCTTGTCTTTTATCAGAATCACGGCAGCCACGCGTAGAAAAGAATGGATGATCTTTGTCTCTCCGTGGTTACTGGATTACCATCCCCGCCGGTATCCCCGCGACGACCGGATCCATCGAGAATTTACCTTAGGCTAAAACTCGCCGCATAACGGAGAACACGGAATTCGGCAGAGATTGTCTCCGCTCGAAGGACCGAGAGGAGAGAAACCAACGGTCTTCGTGCAAGTTTTTAACTGCGGTATTTACTTACCTGTCACTGAAATAATTCGCGCTATTCAACGCAGAACGATATCGTTGCTGGAGCGTCGCTGGATTTTTCCCGCTTGCGTAACGTAATAAATAGAGGAAAAAGAAAAAAGTAAACGAAAGGAATGGAATTTTTGCCGGTTCCGAAATCTCTACTTTTTATAGTGAAATACGGTATTTGGTCTGTTGTTACTTTTTATAGTCAACTGTGTAAAAAATATAGGCCGTGGTTTTCGTTGAGAATTAAACTGTCATGCTCTGACGCGATGATGTGTATACTTCTGTTTCTCCTCGATTTATCTTTTCCCAGGCAGTTTTCTGAAACTTTGAGTGCTATACGTGATATACTTTTTGGAGGCGAGAAAGAGAGAGAAAAATGTTGAAATTCAAATGTTTTGAATCGGAAGGACGCGCGAGTTATGTCCATTTCTACCGATGTAGATTAACTTTAATCTCGGTTTATAACTTACTCTTTATCTTTTCCTAATGTCCGTTTCTATCAATGTAGCTTAATTTTAATCTCGAGTTAACTAACTTTTCATCTTTTTTCTAGTTCTAATGCCCAATTTTTTTTCAGATAATTTTATCCAGGAGATTTCTCCCAAATTACAATAGAGATCTCCTGGATGACATTATTCGCAACTTATCTGAAAGTGAAGAAATTGGGTATAAGAATTAAAGATTAAATTGAACCGAAATTAAAGTTAATCTATCAATCCTATTTAAAATTATACCCGTTTTCAGCAATGTAGATAAACTTTAATTTCGTTCCAACTTACTCTTTTCTAACTCTTAGAATTAGAAAAATAAAGAGTAAATTAAAGCGAGCTTTAACTTAAGTTAAAGGTAGTCTACATTAGCAGAAATGGACATTTCTATCAGTGTAATTAAATTAATTTAATAAATTAATTTTAATCTCGATTTAACTTATTCTTTACCTTTTTCTAATTCTATTTAAAATGTATTATGCCCGTTTGTACTCTAATGTAGATAAACTTTAATCTCAGTTCAATTTATTCTTCATCTTTTTTTATATTCAAATTGGAAAAGAATTGGAAAAAGATTAAGAACAAATTGAATTCAAAATTAAAGTTAATCTACATAAGATAAGAACGGGGATTGGTAAAAGATAAAGAGTTGTGTGAGTTAAACCGAGATTAAAATTAATTAGTAGAAATAAACATTAGGATGTTGCCTCTCGATAACGACGTTTTACGGGTCGCGTGGCGCGCATCGACATTGACATTTAATTGCGTCGCGGAGTCTCTTTACGCGATCGTTTCGTTAATGATCGGCGCGACATTTCGATGCTTATAACTTGGAGACATTTTCGCAAAAGTTAATGAGGCATCAAGTCGACAACGGGAGGGATGGAATAATCGCGAGATCCGCTTCGTTAACGCGTTGACTACCATCACTATAAAGTATCTACTGTCCATATTAGACTAGAAATTAAAATTGAGATTGAGATTGAATTTGATCGATCAAAACAAAGTTTATTAAACATAATGATTTTCTTTCTTCTCATTGGTTAACCCATAAATGACACCTAGATGTGAATTCGCACCAGGAAAATTTTCAACTTGTGCATTTGACAAAATTAATTTTGCTTTTTGAATGAATAACATTTTATTTTTCGAAAATTCAATATTACCAATCTCTCGATTGGTTAGAAAATTTTACATTGAAAAACAAGTTTTTAATTTAGATTTAAAATAGAAGATATAAAATATTAAAAACACCTGAATTCGCACTCAAGTGTCATTTACAGGTGTGAATGTGTTTTTTAAGAAAGCTTCAAAGGAAGGTGTCTTTTATGGATTAAAATTCAATCTCAATCTTAATCTCATTCGATAAAATGTATCCAATTTGCTGAGAGGACGTGTTAACTCAGGAACCTTTTTTTTTGCGTAAATGATCATCTAGGATGTTTTTTTTATACTTCAATTAAAAATTACTATTAATCGCACATTACATATTATCAATTGTTCTATAATTTATTATAATATTTGAAATTATTATATACATTCTAGGCTAAAAGTGTGAAAGCACTTTTTAAAAAAATTGACATTTGTGGGATCACTTATTCGAATGTATTTTTTTATAATAATTTTTTAAATAACTGTTACTTGAAGAATTATTGTTAAAAAGTACATTATTTGAATGTTTGAATAAGTAACTTGAAAAATGCTAATTAAAAAAAAATATTTCCAAACTTTTGGCTAAAAGTGTACATATAAATTTATTTAATATTTTCTAAGCAACGTAAGGAGAAATAAAAAAAATAGGTATAAATTTTGAATGAAAAGTAGAGAAAACTACTTTGGGCTTTCGGGCTTTATTTTCTTCCGAGATGTAATCATTCCAGATAACTTTCTCGGATTAGATATGACCCGTAATTACGACGATCGAGCACGGATTAACTGGTGATTTCGCGTGATTGCGAAACAATCGCGGGATTTTTGCTACCTGTTGCAATGACATTAGATCGGCAAGATCGGCAAGTGGCTGTTAAGAAAAGAGACGATATTACGTGGAACGGTAGAGATTTTCCAACGAGCGTGCGCGTGTCAGGCGGGTGGTGAGGCGCCTGCGGGGCACGTCGTGCTTCCAGTTGGGGTGAATCCTAATACCTAGATAATAGGAAATAATTGCGAGGGATCAGAGCGAGCGAAGCTACTCTGTCGGCTGTCGGGCTCGGGGGCAGCGGGATGCGTATAGTCGTATAGTCGTATAGTCGTATAGGAAGAGGAAGAGAGAGGAGGGAGAGAGGGAGAGAGCCGAGAGAGGGTGGCGCCGCGTTTCCATCCCTCCGTTCCCTCTTCCCGCTTCTCTCCTTCCCTACTTTCCCTTCTCGCCGTCGATTCGCGGGGGTGGAGAAAGAGGACGAAGAGAGGATCGTAATCGTGTTATCGGGACGAAATCACGAGGTACATTCTCGGATATACATCGGGTAGATGGATACGCGGCATTGCGACCGTACGCGAGACCAATTCGCGTGGAGATTTACTTCCGGCGAGATATATATATATATATCGGGGAGAAAGAAAGAGGGTGAGTTTGTATCGATGTCGCGTGTTCCGTAGCGCGTTTGAATTCTCGAAGGAAACGCTCTTTCAGAATTTCACAATTTCTTCTAAACGACATATTGGAGTAATACTCGCGAACGAAATGCGAAAGCCGCGCTTTGCCGGCAAGGCAAGGCAAGGGGAGGTCTTTGACGACTCTGAAGTCTGACACGCGCGTTCTGAGTTTCTAAGAGTAACAGTGGAATGGAGGGGGACTTGGCCTTTGATGTGCAGGAAGATAACGTTGGCGTTGTTTAGAGGAAGAAACACACCCGAGCTGGCCAGGTAAGCTGGTAAGCTAAATGAGATCACGGTGCCATTTATGACGTTTATTAGATTCCGTTAAGACGTCTATTATTACGGTACGTAAATAAAAGGGGGAGAATTCGCGCCCCTCGTCGAGGGAGACGAAGCGGAATGCGGCGAAAATAATGAAATAAAGGACAATGAAGTGGCAGGTACAATGGCCAATAGGGCATAGAACGAGAGGACGGGCAAGGCGCCAGCGGGCGATGAGGCCTCTCTCTCTCTCTCTCTCTCTCTCTCTCGTACGTGGAAGGGGTGTTGCAACAAGGGGTTACAGAGCGCGGCTCGCTTTAGTTCGGCGGGCTAAATGCAGTGGGCGTGTTCCATTACTTTCATTATTTTCAGTCGCCGGGGGTTCGGTGGGTATCGATGCCCGAATGTAACCGTAGGTCGCCTCGTGCGTGCAACGTAACGCAACCAGCGAAAGGTGGGCGACCTACGATTTTCGCCCTTCGAGTCGATGCGAATCCATCGACGGCGACGCGGCGACAGCGAATTCGCTGTATCGAAGCAGCGATGTATACAATATTATACATGTACGAGCGCATGTGTGTATGTGTATCGACCGAGATCAATTTAATCCGTTCGAAAAAAAAAAAAAAAAAAAGCGAAGAGAGGGACGAGAGCATTGGGCTTCGAGTCGAAGAGGCCGCACGCGAGGGTGAAGCCGTTAGCTTAACAAGCTGTCAAGACGTCGCCGCGTGTCAATCCGCGGCTCTCCAACGATCCCCGAAATAAAGCCGCCTAAAACCCTTCAGTCGTCTCTCGTGCGCGACGAGCCGCGGATGAGAGTTTTCAGTCCGGTCGCGAAACATCCGGGTTCTTCTCTCCTTTTCTTCGAATTCAAACAATGCCTATATGCACATTTATATTTATATTTCTGGAAATATGACTGTAGATATTAAATACCTACAATTTTTTTCTCTGTCCTTAATACTAGAACCGTGCCAACTCAGCTGATAATTCTTTCTTTTTCGCTTAATTTATATTTGAAGCTTTACATATTTGCGACTTTTCATGAACAAGGAATTACAAATAGTTTTACTTTTTTGGTGACATCCTTCCGTATAAAAATCCAGATTTACCTTGAACCGCGATTGGGTTAATTTAGACTTACGGTTCTATGTGTTAATTGTTTCACTTTTTATTATTGATTTAGTTATACAAGATGAAAATGAATAAACGTTAAATATTTTAGGAATGTATTCCCATTTATCAAATATTAAAAAAGTATGGATATATAGAATATAGTGTAACTAAAATAACACCTACTATCATATAATGCTAATCATATAATGCTATTCCTAATAAAAAAATTGAGATGAAAAGTCCTCTACCATTTTCCAATTTTCGTAATATTTTTTTTTAATTATCCAACAAAAAAAATATTTAAAATTGTGACGTATAAGGCAGCTTTAAGATTTCTTTAAGAGTTCTTTAAGAAAAATTTTCAAAATATTTCACAAAGAACACGAAAAGATTAAAATTGTCTTATATTATCGATTTTATCTGTTTATTCGGCAATATTTGAAAATTAATATCTCGTTAACTATTGCGAAAATTGCAAAATGATAGAGGATTTTTCGACTTAGTTTTGTATTAGAAATAGCACTGTATGATTAGTGGACGTTATTTCAGTTACACCTTGTATACACGGAGAGATTTTCTTTTAAAATTTATCCTTAAAATATGATAGTTGTGGTGCAATACAATATTTTAAAGATTTTTACCATTTACACTTTAGTAAAATTAATCAAACTTATTTTATATTTTATTGTAATTTTATTAATAAATGAGAGAAATTTACATTCTTCGAAATAAATGTCCCACGACTATCATATTTTCAGGGTAAACTCTAAGAAAAAGTTCTCTCCGTATAAG